TTGGAAAACATCTTTTGTGATGTCTCTTTTCTGTTGAGTTTTTTTTTTATGTTGTTATTTTCTTTTGAGATTCTTTTGTAATTGAAAAGGGCTATAAGTGCATGGGAAGTCATTCCAGAAAGGAAGTGTTGTGTCTGTCCTGAGTGAGGGTGGGCCCGGGTCAGCAGGGTTACAAAGGCCCACGAGACCCAGACAGAGCTGCCACATGGGTCTGCTTAGAAGACACCCCAGGCCCCCACTGCCTGCTCAGCAGGGACTCCATGGGGGCCCCTGGTGCTGGGTTCCGCGGCCACGTCCTTGGCAGCCTAATTGGGAGCCAGCTTTCCTCACAGTGCTCTGCTTGTCTGCTGCCTGAGGGTCTGGTGACCCGCTGAGCAGGGCATGTGTGTGACACGTTTCTGTCCTTTATGCTGTGTTTATTGCTGTTGTGCGTTTCTGCTGTTTCTGGCGTCTGGATTCATACCCTGTGCACCCATGTTTCTCCAGACCCTCCCCTGTGCTGTGTGGCCACACTGTGTACTCTCCCCTTACCTGGAAGCCCCTCAGTAGCCTTCCTGGTTGCAGGTTGGCTGTGGCAAAGTAGAGGTGCTTGTGTCTAGGGAAGCCTTGTTATAGTTAAAGGGACAATGCTGGCAGTCCCACTGGCTGACAAGGCACCGAAATGTACTTCCTTTAAGTGGTGAGGTGAAGCGTTAAGGTGGGCAGTCCGGTAGTGTTTGCTACTATCCGCACTTGATGGCGTCCACTGGCCTTAGAACGGAGCCCTGAGAACCAGGGTGAGAGTGGGTCCATGGTGTCAGCATGGGTGCACACGCATATTTTCTCTCATTTCTTCACAGCCCAGCTGATTAGGGGAGGTTCCTGCACCAGGTGTCTCTGTTCCGTGTGTTGTAGTTCTTTTCATACTAGCACTTTTGCTTCTGCTGTGTGGCATTGTGTTGGTGTGTGTGGGTAAAATTTATGTGCCTCATTCTCCTTTGGCACAGCCTGCATAATAATGCTGGAAATACCCAAATACCCAGCCTCTCCCGCAGTCACACAGAGCTGGCAGGGGACAGCTGGGGCCATGAGAATTCTGTGTTGGCTTGTGATTCCAGCTGTGGGAAACACCAGCTGGGCCCAGAGAACTGTGGAGGAGTTGGGTAGGACCAGGGGAGGGGTGCAGAGGTGCACAGGTGACCCCACGCATCCTGCTGGAGCTGCCTCTTCTCCCCAAGAACAGTCACCCCTGCCCCACTGCATAGCAGCTGACAGCTCCTTCCCTGGGCACTGGGCACAGGATTCGTAGTACTTCACTATTCACCTCATGCCAGGCAGAGCTGGGTCCCTGTGGGTGGCACATGGGCATGCCATCCTCCAGCTCCATCTGTGAAGAAGCTGTGGTTGCACGGTTCTGTGGTGTGGTCGGTTAAGGATGGGTGTGCAGTGTTGAAGCAGCATGGACTGCCCCACGCATGCAGCTTGGGCTGAGGGACAGGTGCTGGGTAGAAGAGCTTAGTGCTTACAAGGACTGTGCAGTGCTGAGTGACTTCTGTCATTTCTGGAGTTTTCCCTGGCCTTCAGGGAAGCACATGGACAGAGCTGTGACTTGGCCAACCCTCTGCACCCTCTAGCCTCACGGGTTCCACTGCTTCTGGATGTGTGAGGGCTCTTCAGGAAGCTGCCTGCATTTGTGCACAGCAGGTGCCTCATGCAGGAAGGATTTTCAGGGCAAGGCAGAGAAGTATGACCTTGTGACTGTCTTCAACTTCCTCAAAGTCACCTGCAGCACAAAGAGGCCTGTCCGTAGAGATGGGAAGGGATATGGCAAAATGGATCTTCTCTGACTGAGAGAGCCCCTGGCCAGAGCAAGACCCGTCCCCCCCAGTGCCCCTGGACAGAATGGTGGCCTGCCGAGCTCTCACAGCCCCGAAGTCGGTGCCTTCTGACAGCTGGGAGGATGAAATCAGGGAGAAGGTTCAGGCTCAGTACCCCCAGATGCTTGTATAATTTGTTCTAAGGTTTTATGGTCTACTAGTTGGCTACTAAAACACTCTAGATTTGTATTTTTTAAACATTTTGAATTTTTTAAAACTTAATTTTGAGGCAGGGTAAGAGTGAGTCCATTCTGAGGCTCTCTCCAAGTACCTCAGGAGGTAGGGCAGGCAGCTCGATCCAGGGCTCCCACTTGGGGGGCTATGACCTAGGCACAAGACAGCACTTGCCACCTTCCTGGAGGTGGAGGAGTCAGGATTTGAACCCAGGCATTTGGATGAGGGATGCTAAGATCTAACACCTGGGGCTGGCACTGTGGTATACAGGCTAATCTTCCACCTGCAAGTGTCAGTATCCCACCTGGCACCAGCTGGTGTCCTGGCTGCTTTATTTCTAGTTCAGCTTTGCTTATGGCCTGGGAAAGGGGTGGAGGATGGCCCCACACCCACGAGGGAAGCCGAGAAGAAGTATCTGGTTCCCAGTTTGAATCAGACACTGGTGTTGAAGCACCTGGTCCCCTGGCCGCCTGTGAGCCCAGAGCCCTGCGTTTTGGGGTTGCAAAGTTTACTGCTGCATCTTCAGGGTGATGCCTAGCACGGCCTCACACATTGCTGGGTCTTTGGAAATGGCCACGTGTGCAGCTGAGCTGCCCTTTGATGTGAGTGGTTCCTTACCGGGGTTTCTCTATTAAAATTGTAAATAGTAACGGCTCTACAATGGCAAGAAAAACAAGTGAATCTTCCTTTTTCCAAGAAAAGTCTGTGTTCCTGTCTCCAGGGCATTCTGCCCGGCTTCACTGGGAGTTGTGTCTCTCCTTTCAAAGGCTCCTCTGTCAACACTGGCCTGCTTTAGAGGGGTTTTCTGTGCTGGGCCCTCTTGGGGTAACTGTGTGGAGCGACCCAGCTCCCCTCTGAGCACTTAAGCACTGTGGCCTTGTGCCTTCCCGAGCTGCCCTGAAGCTTTATGGTAGTACAGTGCGTACAGGCCCTGCCTGCTGCCCCAGAGTCCCTGGCTGGGTGGGAACCCTGAGGCTGCAGGAACCATGTGTTTCCTCAAGGCGCCAGCTACTCCCGCCGCTTCTTGGCCCAGTTCTTCTCTGAGATTATAGGCTTAAGAAAAGCATGGAGACAGTTTCATTTTTAAAAGAAATATTTTTATTTGAAAGGTGGGGTTACAGAAAGGTCTTCCATTTGCTGGTTTATTTCCCAGATGACTACAATGGCCAGAGCTAGTCCAGACCAAAGCTGGGAACCAGAGCTTCTTCTGGGTCTGCCATGTGGCTGCAGGGTTCCCAGGCACTTCGCCTGTCCTCCACTGTTTCCCAGGAGCATAAGCAGGGGGAGCTGGATGGGAAGTGGCCAGTCAGGACTCGAGCCAGCACCCATAGTGGATGCCAGCACTGTAGGCAGTTTTACTTGTTCTGCCACAACGCCAGCTCCATGGATTTCATTTGTATCTGATTCCAGTCTTGCCAGAGTATGAGACCCTTTTGCACACTTACCGGACTGGCTTGCTTTATTTAATAAAGGTAATGATTTTTCACTCATTAAGCTTCAATTTTAAGTTTGGACAGGTAGCAATTCTATTCAAGGGACACTTAACTGAGCAGTGTCTCTGTCCGCTGGCCGTCAGTTGTTCCCCATCTTCCAGCAGCACCCCAGGAGGAAGGCAGGAGGGCATGGCCAGGGCTGGCTTGCACCCAGAGCTGGATTTTCTGCCCCCTTAACGGATCTGCTCACCTGTCAGAAGGAAGGCGAGCTGTCAGGTGGACATAAGGATGCTCCTGCCGGGCCAAGCGTGTCTTCCTCTCGGAGCATGCAGGGGCTTCCTTGAGCCAAGTACCTGTGTTTCCTCCCAGGACCACCACTCCTGTTTCTGCCTTAGTTGGCGCTGAGCCACAGTTTGTTCAGTTTACGAGCCTGACAGTTTTTATGATTTAATTTCCTTGTGATAGGATATTGTTTAGTTCCAAACTGCTATGCATGTTATACCTAAAGAATTTGTTTTAAAGTCAAGCTACTAATTTACTTTATAGGGCCCACATTGAATTACCATGATTATGAATTCTAGAAAAATTTTCCCTTATGTGAGGGTTCATGAAAACTTTAATGGAAAATTTTGGAGCAAGTTTTCTTCATTTGCTTGCCTGTTACTTTAAGGGCAGAGGTAGTTCAGTCCTGCCAGCCAGGGCAGGAGTAAGCTTAGCCAGTGCCGCAGTCCACCTCTCCAGTGGGGGGACCTGAACGCCTGTGCCTGTCAGCAGGGAGCCAGGTTTGGGAGGGGGCTGAGACTTAGGGCTCTGAGGGGGCATCCAAGCAGCAGCATCTCCCCAACCCTGCCCCGTGCCCACTCCACTACTGCCTGAAATGGTGAGGTCCTTGCTTACAAGGAATCTTCAAAAAGCGCATGGAAAACATTATGAAAAAGTTCCTAGATTTCACAGATTTTCATATCAAAAGGTGCTATCTAGAGAGTGAACCAATGAATAGGATTAACTCTTTGCCTCTCTTTTAAGAGAGTTAAAAATGTTTATCATTAAGTATTCAAGAGAAAAAAAAACCTAACGATTTATTTGTTTGAAAAGTAGAATTACAGACACGGGGAGACAGGTCTTCATCCACTGGTTCACTGCCAAATGGCCAGGCCTGGGTCAGAGCCCAGGAGCGTCATCCAGCCGTCCGTGTGCATGCAGGGGCCCAGGGACCTGAGCCACTGTCTGCCACTTCCTCTGACACATCAGTGGAAAGCATGATCAGAAGTAGAGCACTTGAGATTTGAATTGTGTATGTATGGCATGCTGGCAGCACAGACTGTGGCTTAACTTGCTATGCCACAACAACAGCCCCAATTGATAGTTCTATCCCAGGCTTCTGAAATCAGCCCACTTGTAGTCTACCTGAGGCCTTCCCTACCACCTTGCTGTTTTTAGAAATAATTGTTACTGTGTCACTGAATAATTTAAGCTCTGCTGTTATGAGGGCATTTGTTTAACCGGCTTCTGTTTTCCTTCTTTTTCTCCCATAAAGCAAATGAAGAAGCACCCATGCCGCCAGTGCGACAAGTCATTCAGCTCATCACACAGCCTCTGCCGCCACAATCGCATCAAGCACAAGGGCATCCGGAAGGTGTACACGTGCTCGTGAGTGCCACGCCGGCTGTGGGCGGCATGCTCCGTTACACCGTTGACTGAACACGGGAGTTGTTGGTGGGGCGGCCACTATTAATGCAGATGGGAACGCTTCCTTGCTTGCCCTATGTCCATTTAAGGCTCTTCCCTTTTGTGTATTTTTAAAGATTCATGATTCATTCATGACTTGGAGGGCAGTTAGACACAGTGAGCCATCTCCCATCTGCTGAGTCACTCTCCGAGTGGCCCTGCTGGCTGAGGGCAGGAGCCCCCTCCATGTCCCCCCGCCAAGGGGCAGGCCCAAGGACCTGGGCCCCTTCACACTGCATGCTCGGACCTTAACAGGGAGCTTGGTATTTTTTTTTTTAAAGATTTTTTATTGAAATTGTGGATAGAGAGAGGAGGAGAGACAGCGAAAGATCCTTCATCCAATGGTTCACTCCCCAAGTGGCCGCAATGGCTGGAGCTAAGCCAATCTGAAGCCAGGAGCCAGGAGCCTCTTCCTCCAGGTCTCCCACGCGGGTGCAGGGTCTCAAGGCTTTGGGCCGTCCTCTGCTGCTTTCCCAGGCCACAGGCAGGGAGCTGGATGGGAAACGAGGCTGATGGGATATGAACTGGCACCCATATGGGATCCTGGTGCTCACTCAATGCAAGAACCTCAACCACTACGCTATCGTGCCAGGCCCAGGAGCTGGGTATTTTAAGATTGGAGTGGTCAGCAGTCTGATGAAGCGAACTTCTCACATGTGTACTGGTTTCAGTCCACCCCACTTCTGATCTCGCTCTCTGCTAATGGCCTGGAAAGGCAGTGGCTTGTGGCCTAAGTGCTTGGGCCCTTGTCCAGGTTTCAGCATGGCTCAACTCTGACAATTGTGGCTGCTTGGGGAATGAACCAGTAAGTGGAACAGCTATATTCCTCTGTTTCTGTAACTCTGCTTTCAAGTAAAAGTTTTTAAAAAGAATCTATCTGATTTATTTGAGAGGCAGAGTTATACAGAGAGAGGGACAAAGATCTTCCATCCACTACTTTATTCTCCAAATGACTACAGTGGCCAGGACTGGGTCAGACAGAAGCTAAGAGCTCCTTCTGGGTCTCTCACATGGGCAGGGGTGCCCAGTTGCTCAGGCTATCTTCCACTATATTGCTAGGCACATTGGCAAGGAGCTGGATTGGGTGTGGAGCAGTGGCAACTCAAACCAGGAATGACAGGTGCTATAGGTGGCACCTTAACCACTATCCCACGATGCCATCCCTGAGGAGCCTGTGTGTTCTAAAGAAGGTGCTGCCTTGAAAGTGAGATCCCTGGTCTCTGTACATAGTAACTTGGCAGCACTGGCACTGAGGCTTCAGAGGAGGCCGCAGGCCCAGTCTCTGTGAAGGACACTGTAGCACAGGGTGTCAACTAACAACCTGTCATTGGGGCTGGCACCAGGCATAGTGGGCTAAGCTTCCACATGGTGCTGGTATCCATATATGGGTGTTGATTTGAGTTTAAACTGCTCCACTTCTGCTCCAGCTCTCTGCATATAGTCTGGAAAAGCAGCAAAGAGTAGCTCAAGTGTTTGGGTCACTGCACCCATGTGGGAGACCTGGAAGGAGTTCATGGCTTCAAACCAGCCCAGTTCTGGCCATTACAGCCATTTGGAGAGTACACTAGCAACTAGAAGATTCTCTGTCTCTCCTTCTCTAACTCTGGCTTTTTAAAAATATCACTGATTCATCCTCGACCATGTTTCGAGTGAGTTCTTAGAGCATGATACTTGTAGTGGCCAGAGGATGAGAGCCAGTGTAGGGCACAGAGGTGAGTAAAGCCTGAGAGGTGGCCTTTCGCAGGTGGCATGGGTCAGATTTGGCCCATTCAGGAAGCTTTCCTGGGTGGACAGACACAGGGCTGTAGACACCACCCTCCGGGGAGTGCCAGGAGAGGAGAGGCAGGCAAGAAGGAGCTGGGGCCTCCCACCTCCATCCATGCTGACTGCAGAGTCACTGTTAAGACTCAGAAGGGCAGGGGTTTGCTGGCTGATTTAGTGCTAGCCCATGGGCATTGGTACCTTGGTGGCCCTGGCTCCTTCCACTCTGCAAGCTGAGGTCATCAGGGATTGGGGCCAGTCATAATATTCTCAGACCTTTGTGCAGACAGTAGGGCTGGGTCTGAGGAGCACCCGAGGCACTGCTTCTGCCTGTCCCCGCAGTTAGAGCATCTCCTGACTCCAGGAACATCAGCTGCCACCTGCTTTATTAACTCAATTCATATCTCTAAAAGAAACTCTTCATCATCTGCCATATTTCTTATACAAGATAAAGTAGGCAAACAACAGTATAACCACAAGGGCATGCTCTGTGGCACATCACGGTAAGTGCTGCCCGAGGTGGCAATGGAAGGTGGCCCAAGAACTAGAACCACTGGCACCCGTGATGTGGGTGCTTAGCATGGAGTTCTTGACTGTTGTGTCTATTTGGGAAGTGTCCCAGTGGGTGGAAGATCTCCCCCTCTCCCTCTTTGTGCCTTGAAAAGAAATACAAGCATACTTCAAGTTCCATAGAAATGCAGTTAAGGTATGTTTCTGTTCATGCAAAAAAGTTTTTCCGGAACACTGTTTTCCATGAAGTACTGAATACGCAGATGTGTTTGAGTGCCTTTGGAGCACACATATTGCATCTGTGCTTGGATGAGGCAGCCGGGGAGGCAGACACTGTTCCCTCCCAAATGGAAAGAGCAATATCTCATGACATCGGTGCTGAGAGAATCTTCTAGAAACCCAGTGTTCTCCTTTCAACTTACAGCTGTTTAGAATTAGACACAAAGTCATACTGTAACCTAAGCTAGAAAATGTTCCCTCAGAACCAAATTATGGTTGATCCTAGAAGGAAGCAAAACCAGTGGGGAGCTTGCTATACAGTTCCTTCCCAAGTGGGAAAGTTTGCTTCAGAGCACAATTGCTCGTTCGGCTTTGAACCCTGGTGCAGCCCGAGTTCTCGGCTGGTCTGAGCATGCCAAGGGGCTTTGTCCTGCGCGGAGGGGCCCCGTGTGCTGGTGCCTCACCCACGTGTTCTCTGCTGCCCAGGCACTGCCCCGACTCCAGGAGGACGTTTACCAAACGGCTCATGCTGGAGAAGCACATCCAGCTGATGCATGGCATCAAGGACCCCGACCTGAAGGAAATGACCGAAGCCACCACTGAGGAGGACATCGAGGTCAAAGAAGACGCCGAGGTCAAACAGGGCAGATGTCTTGTGGATCGTGAGGTTGGGTTGTGGTGACCTTCCCACCTGTTCTCTCCCTTTACAATTTGAGAAATTCAGACCATGTGTCTCACCTCTCATCTTGCTTCTGGAAGGGAAGGTTTCTTCTGACTTCTCCCAGATCCTTAAAGCTGCTTTTGGATGGATCTGCTTTTGTTGACTAGCCAAGAGGAATGTCTGATGCCAGTACCTTTCCATGGGCAGTGTAGCCCGGAGGGGCACCAGTGAGACCCAGCTCCTTAATGCTCTTGGCCATGATAGAAGTCATAAGTCTCTCTCTGCCCCTCTCCTCTGGTGCTTGACGGATAGGTCATAGGGTAAGAGGTCTTCCAAAAACTTGATGTAAAATGCAGATGAGGAAAAGATTCTCAAATTCTCAAGTTTTTGATCTTGATTCAAAAATTCTACAATCTTTGCATAACCTCCTAATTCCATCTTCCCATAACTTTTTCACAGTGGAAAGATGGAATTAAATTGTCTGCATTTTTCATGAACTCCTTGAAAGTCCCCTCTTAGCTGTGCACCTGTAGCCAGGTGTATGTTGGCCAGGTGCTGCGGGAGTTGAGGCCCCCCCAATCCTGCTGTCTTGTGCACTGTGTGAAGGTGGAGTGTACCTGGGGAAGTAGCATGTCTGTGTTCTCCCAGAGTGAATCAGCCGGTTAGTCTCAACTCTGCACATGAGCTCAGGGAGCTTCCGGTGAGGGCCAGTGGGGCAGACACTCTTGGGACCCAGGAGGGAGAGGCAGCAGACAGCGCAGCAGGGAGAAGGGGGTTCATTTTACTTGGGGCTGTGAGGGGGTCTGATGCAGGCAGGGCTGAGAGCTACAGAGGGAGGGAGGTACAGCCAGCAATACAGTGAGTGGGCAGGGAACAGTGGCTGCCTCAGGCCAATCTTACCCCACCTGCTATCCCCGCTGGGAAAGCTGAAGTTCCCAGGCATAACCCTAAGCTGGCCCCCTCCCTTCCCTGAGCACAGTGCCCCCCACATGGGCCTGCACCTGGCACCTTCACACTCAGCACCTCCCCTCCCTGGGTCAGGTCTGTCTGCCACTGGTGTACCCCACTCAGCACTCCCGTTCCCACACACTGTCCTTACCGGGGTGCCTGGTCCTGTCTTCATCTCTGTCTGCTGCTGGGCCACTGGCTCCAGGGAACTCGGTTCCTGAGGGTGGGGTAGAGGGAGGCAGTCCCTTGCTCGCGGCTGCTGTGCTGGAAGCCACCAAACAGGACAGTGTTGGTCATGTCACAATTGTCGTTCTCGGCCCCACAGGTTCCCAGTCCCAAGCGGAAGTTGGAGGAACCCGTTTTGGAGTTCCGGCCTCCCCGGGGAGCCATCACTCAGCCCCTGAAGAAGCTCAAGATTAACGTGTTCAAGGTGCACAAGTGCGCCGTGTGCGGCTTCACCACCGAGAACCTGCTGCAGTTCCACGAGCACATCCCGCAGCACCGCTCCGACGGCTCCTCCTACCAGTGCCGCGAGTGCGGCCTCTGCTACACGTCGCACGTCTCGCTCTCCCGGCACCTGTTCATCGTGCACAAGCTGAAAGAGCCGCAGCCTGTGGCAAAGCAGAATGGGGCCGGCGAGGACAACCAGCAGGAGAACAAGCCTGGCCCCGAGGACGAGGCCGCAGATGGCGCCCTGTCAGACCGCAAGTGCAAGGTGTGTGCAAAAACCTTTGAAACAGAAGCTGCCTTAAACACACACATGCGGACACACGGCATGGCCTTCATCAAATCCAAAAGAATGAGCTCTGCGGAGAAATAGCCCCCGCTGCCCGGGCTAGCGGCACCACGGGAGCCGAAGCCAGGTGGGCCGTGTCTGCTGTCGGCTGCTGCAATATCTCCTCCCCCTCGATCTCTCCTCCCTAGTATGAAGCCGTGTTTTGCGTTTCACAGAGTTTGTATATATTTAAAGGGTTACCTTTTTATACTCTTTGTTACATGTTTGTATGGTATCTAGTGGACAGTGTTTTCTTGGTTGTTTTTTTTTGGGGGGGTGGGGTTAGGATTTTTCTTTCTTTTGTACCGTTTCTTAGTCACAGGGGCAATTCCCGATTTCAGCTCTGCCATTTTTGTATGTTACCGATTTGAACGCATTCACTAACTACAGGCTGACAGAGATGCCTTTTTTAGTGTTTTTAATTTTTAGAACTCACTACATCAACTGTAGGCAATCGTGGGTCTCCATTACAAACACTAGGAACTTGGACGTGTCTTAGCACTGTCCTCCGTGACCCGGCTTGCCCTGCCGGAAGAGCGGCCTCGCAGATGGCCAAGACCTAGGCCATCCCTCATGCCAGGGGAGGCAGGAAGTCCCTGAGGCCCGCGGCATGGGCAGTGGGGGCAAGGCTGGCTTCAAGAGCACAAGGAGATGTGAGACGGTCTCCCAGTGACCCAGGTGGCCTTGGCCGTAGTCAGGTTTCATGTCATTGTAACTTACTAACCATTACAGAAACACAACTCTCAGAGAATATCAAGTATTCCTCTGGCTCTTGACATGAAAACAAATCACAGTTGACTTAACCCTTTGCTGTCCAAAACAGTTGGCATTTCCTGTTGCGGGTGCTACTGCCAAATGTTCTGGAACCTCAAGATGGGATGCACACTCTCGCCCACCAATGTATTAACACAGCAGCCTGCACGTCGCCCTCAGCCATTAGGTGAAGCACTGAGCCACGCCCCGGGCCTCAGCCCTCCCGGCGCTGTCCCCTGTCCCCGTACACCTCCTGGGCTTGTTCCGTTGGTAGTTTTCCGCTGTACTTTCTGGTTTGGCGGTAATTTGTGTGTGTGTGTGTGTGTTTTGAGGGGGGTATTATGTTTTGTTTTGTTTTGTTTTGTTTCTTTTTTGTTTTGTATTTTATATCTTGGTATTTATCCCAGAACACATTTTGTACTTTTTTGTTTGTTTTTTAAGACTTGTGTGTAAATAGGTACTTGCATGATACACTGTAGCCAACATCTGGTTCCTCCGAAGGTCTTGCTGCTGTCAGGTGTGCTGCACTAGCCCCATCTTCACTGTAGTCAACACATTTCACCTGTAAATAAACATGGGACGTTTGGCCCTTGTACTTCTGTGAGAGTTATTGCTGGGGGGGAGGGGTCGTCTGGCACCTCCGTGGAGCTGGGGCTGTGATGGTGGCACGGGAGAGCCCACGGGATGACAGCGCTCCTGCCGCATAGCAGGGCAGTGTCTTCCTCAGTGGCGACCAGCCATCTCACCTCGCTGGTGCCATCTGTGCATCAGTACCACCCCAGGGTGTGACGACTTGTTCCTCAACTTGAAGACTCAATCGCTGTTACTTGTTCTAGTTCCTTGTACTGTTCCAAGTGTATTCACAGCACTTTTCACGTGTCTCTGCATCTGGACTTTGCAATAAACCCATGTGGTGGCCCACACGGATCCAAATAGCCTCGTTTGATGGTCAAGGCAGCTGAGCTCAGATGAACTTCTCTGTCTATGCCCTCACAGGTGGTCAGTGGTTCTGCTTATTAGAACCCAAATACTCTGCTCTCAAATCTAGTGCTCGCTCTATGTGGCTATGTACATATTGACAAATAAATATTCACCTCTTCAACAAATAAAACATATGTGCAAAACACAATGCCAGAATTTTTGTTTTTGGCACTATAGCTTTTGTAAGATATCCTGAGAATTTTTCTTTAATATCCAGAAATGCTTGATGCTGTGTGTTCAATATCTACTTGTGTGTTTAAGAAAGTTGCTGAAAAAGACAAGAGGTCCAGAATGAAGACAGTGGGATCTGGAGTAGAGAGTGCTGTGTGGACACCACAACTCTGCAGGCACAGCTCAGCGGCTCAGCTGAGGGGGCATTGGCAAGCTGGAAGATGGAGCTTGTGGAAGTTAGCTGGAATTCAGCACCCAGCTAGCAGACAGAGGATAAAACTACCAGAAGGACAGATTGAAAAAAAAAAAAAAAACCAATTCAGCTTAGAAAGAAGCACAGAAAGAGAATAGAATTAGAAAGATTCAATGTTGAAGATTCCTTGCTGTTAACAAAAGCCATCAATAGTTGGGTCAACATAGTGCATGAAGCAGTAGGGTCCAACCTCACGACAAATAACGCCTTGAATGACAAAGTGTTTGCACTTTGGTAGAAGCAAGTTATTTAGGCAAGAAGGGACAATACCAGGTGAGTCAGTGACAGCATTTAGGGAGGACTGACAAGGCTATCCAGTAGGACGGGACATGCTATGGTTACAACACCGAGATTGAGTTTCTTGTTTCACTCACCATCTGTTGTGGGTTGGCTAGGGGCATGGCTCTTTTTCTGTTAGTCCCATGATTCTACTATGAGAGTTTACAGGTACCTATGACAAAGGAAAGTAAAATAAAATGCTGTCTTTTGGCCAGAGTCCTACCTCGGCATGGGAGGTCAAGAAGTGCAGTCCCACATGCCCGGAAAGCTCAAAATAACAGCCTAAATGGCCATTACAGGACTGGAATTTAAAAGGCTATGGCGCTGATGACCTAGAAGAGTGGAGTAGATTAGAAGCTTCAGTCATAATTGACATTTGAAAGTACAGAACATTTTATACTGTGGGAGAGAAAGAATTGATATGAACATTCAAGCTTAGATGTCAATTTTTAAGTGAAGGTCAAAATGAAGAGCTGGCTATAGGAAAAGAGAATGAGTTTGGGAAAAGATGGAAGATCTGTCATTTGTGAGTATTTGGGTAATTTTGTTTTGCAAATCAGCAAAACAAGCTTAAATACAGTAAAATTATACTTTAAAACTGAGAAAAAAAATGTACTACTACATGGCATAGAGCACTTCCTCCACCCAAAGCTCTCCTTGGACGCCTCACCAGTGGCAGTGGGCCTGCGAGTTTCCATCTCAGGACCTTGTACTGATGCTAAACTTTGTTCTCAGAAACTTTGGGCAGCCAAGATTAACATCTTATTCATATTGGTGTGTTCATCATGTGATAAGCACTGTTGCCCTTTCCCAAGCAGCCATTTTAAAGGTATGTTTTAAGAACTTAGTGAAACACGGCCTAAGACAACCTTGGCTGACTCAGTGGGCCACTGAGGACAGAGCTTCAGAAGCAGTCAGGATCCCAGGTTGCACCCCTTGACCTTGGCCGGCTGCCTTCCAAATATAGAACTTAAGACTTAGTCACCCTCAGCCTGTGGCTCCTACACAGCTGTAGTTCATTCTTTGTTAAAGTGGATCCTGAACCTTACTTTGAATTATTTTCAACCTCATCTTCCTGCCAGGTTCACAAACAACAACATGAACAATTGACCTGCAAAGATCATGATAGATAAGTAAGGCCCACACTTCAGGTGGTTGAAATAACTGTCTCCTCTGGCGACAATGGTATAAAACTAGAGAGCAGGATTCCAAAATTCACAAGTGTGTAGAAATGACAGGCTGAACAGCCAAATGGTTCAAAGTAAGAAAATCTTTGAGGCAAATGGAAACATCATGCCAACACCCATGCAGTGCATCCAAAGTAGTTTAGAAGAGGAAAAACCAAAACAGTACCTACATTTTTACAGCCTTCTGCTTCTGGAAACTTCTACACTGAGCCACTACAGTTCTGTCTTAACCATTGCTCCCTGCTCACACGTGTCTACAGGCAGGCTAACCTTAACTTTCCTGTTTTCCCAGACCACTATCTTGTCTCGTCCATTTTCCCCTTCTACAGCCCTTATGGGTTTGTGAAGACATGCACATCGGATAATAAAACTCCTAATCTTATCTGACACTTTTAGGAATGTGCTCATTTATATTCGCTGCATTCTTTAGAAGCATAGCTCCTGGGATTTTCAGTGCTAAATCTTGCCTCAGTTAGAGTCCCAGCATGCTACAAATCACACACTAGGGATCATTTAGCCTTTAAATTCAGGAAAGGACTACAGACAAAGCTGTGGGTAGCACCAAGAGATGTTGGGGCACCCAAAAGGTTAACTAAAGTGGAGAGCCACACTCTGTTCAGAGAAACTGAGTAGAGCTGGAGTGGGGCTGTCCAGGAGCCACAGCTCAAGCTCTGGTGATGCCAGGAGAGTGTGAGAGAGTACCAGGAAGCTGGCTTTATGCTCAAGACTCCTATCTATGCTGCATACCTGCAAAAGCTAAATAAAAGGAGTACTAGGAAGTAATACAGGTCCAAGCCCTATAGATGCCAACACGTTGGGCACAGAGGCCAGGACAAGGGGAGCTGGATGAGAGACCTGATGTTTAGGGCAGCTCTTAGAATGATGCAGTGTTCTTTTAGAAGTGTGCATCTCCCATGGGGCCAGCTCTGTAGAATGGCTGGTACAGCCACTGAGGTGCTGGCATCCCACACAGGCACCAGCTTGAGTCCCAGCTGCTCACTTCCAATCCAGCTCCTTAGTAGATGGCCCAAACCCTTGGACGCCTGCACCCACATGGGAAATTAGCTGCTGGTCCCTGACTGGCCCGGCTCTGGCTCTTGTAACCACTTGGGCAGGAAGCTAGTGGATGGAAATCTTTCTCTCTCTAAATCTAATTCTTGCCTTTCAAATAAATGGTTTTTTAAAAATGTACACTCCCACTTGTTTTCTCAGAGATCTGCGTTTCTCCCTGGCAGGCCATCAGATGGGGCACAGTATATGGGTCTACACTTACCTCTCTTTCTCAGTATCCCACCAGAATTAACCTGCAAGGGCACCCTTTCCCTCATGGTTTTTTTTTTAGTAGCATTTTCTTTGTATAAATCAGATTTGCCAAGAGGTGGAGAGACAGAAAGATTGTTCATCTGGGGGTTCACTCCCCAAGTCGCTGCAATGGCTGGAGCTCAGCTGATCCAAAGTCAGGAGCCAGGAGCGTCTTTTGGGCCTCACACACAGGTGCTGGGTCCAAAAGTTTTGGGCCATCCTCTGCTGCTTTTCCCACACCACAAGCAGGGAGCTTGATGGGATATAGAGAGGTGGGACATGAACCAGCACTGATATGGGATCCCAGCCCTTGCAAAGTGAGGATTTAGCCATTGAGCAATGGTGCCAGGCCCAGTTGGCTATTCCATAATGAACTGCTTACTCTTAAATTTTTCTTACAGTTAGATGGTAAATTACCCTACCCTGGCAGGCCTGTTTTGAAATGCAGTCCTTTGCAAGCCCATGCTTTTTCTACAGAGATCTGTGGTTAGGGTCCACTGAAGCACATCTACTGAATTCAGTAAAGTATGGGTTTGGCCCAATTGTGATTTTCTGGATGGGTCATTTCTGGATGATAGATGCCATTTTTTTTTTTTAATTAAAAAAACAGGGCAGGCACAGATCAACTGACCAAGATGACACCAGTGTATTGAGAAGTCTGTGAAGAGCAGAGCTACGCCTGTTGCCACTTCAGAAAAGGGAAAATGCGGCCATACACAGTGGTCATGGGTGTCCACCCGCACCTTGCCAGCTTAGTGTCTGAACATTCCCTGCTGTTACCAGAATCTCAGCCAGAGACAGCGTCTGCCTCCTAAGAAGCCACAAGGTCATGCACCATGACCCACTGGCAGCCCGACTCTGGGCACGGGATGACCAATACTTGACTAAAGCCGTACTGCTACCTTTGACCTTGACTAGGCAATGCAATAAAAGTGACAATTGAAACCTGTTCGCCCTAGCAGCACAGTGGTGCCTGGATTGACAGCCCCCCTGTGAAGTTCACTTGTTCTCAGGAAGAGCTCCGTCAGTCTTTAAGGAATCACCGAGCTGTCTTGGACTCAGGAGTACTGACGTTATGGTGGGGCGCCAGGAAGCACCATCCAGGGCAGCCATTTGACAAAGCCCCACCTGGGCGCCAGTTTGAGTCCCCGCTGCTTTACTTTCAATGCAGCTTCCTACTAATGCCCTGGAAAAAGCAGAAGATGATCTAAGCGCTAGAGAGACCTGGATAATGCTTGTGGCTCCTGGCATTGCCTTGACCAGCTCAGCCACAGCTGTTATGGCCATTCGGGGAGTGAGTCAGTGCACACAAGATCTTCCTGTCTCTTCCTGTTTATAATTGGCTTTTCAAGTAAATCAATCAATCTCAGAAAGCAAAAGCTACTACAACCACAATGAAAGCTTCATTGAATGC